CCGAACTTTCTTAATCCCGAGTTTTTTTTTTTTTTTAATCGGCTCCCTGGTCGCGTTGACCATCGCTCTTGCAAACAAACTGACGTGGCGGCGCCATCGATCACCGGGGCTCCCGATAATACAACTGACGGCAAAAACCGACGGTGATCAGTCGTCGAGCGATGCTTATCGAACGATGCAACACGGTGAACGAGAGACTGACTCCGAACGTCCTTTCGTTTTCCCCGTTTTAACATCGATCGCGGGAAACCCCCGTGACGCACGTTTTGTCCCTCGAAAACCTCGTACGTTTCCACGAATGAGCCACGCGCGTTCCACGGATCCGCAACGTTTTTTCCTCGCCAGCGAGCACGTTCGCACGGCTGATCTTTTTGAATCGGTGGGGTAAAGGGGTAAATCGGCGGTAGAAAGTTGCTCGCGTGGTTAATGGTTCAGGGATTTGGTCTGTGTGTGTGTGTGTGTGTGTGTGTGAGAGAGAGAGAGAGAGAGAGAGAGAGAGAGAGAGAGAGATTCTTTTTCTCAAGTTTAATCCTGCGGCGAGCGGTGCCGAGCTGCGGTGATCGACTTAAAAACATCTAAATCCGAACTGCTTTCCCGTGTCTGCGGTACTCGGTGGCGGTCGTATTCTCGTGGTCGGCCACGCAACCTCTTGGTTCGACTCACCTTTCATCCGAGAGCGCGGGCAACGTCGAAGACAGGAGACGACAGACAGGGTCGCGTGAAAACGTCGAGAACTCGCACGCGTTTCAGACGATATATTTACCTGGGGTAAATTTATCACAGAGGAGTGGTGGTACAGACAGATCGGAAGGTAGAAGAGACATAGACAGAGAGAGAGAGAGAGAGAGAGAGAGAGAGAGAGAGAGAAATAAAGAAAGATATATATTTTTATATATAGAGAAAGAGAGAGACAGGCAAAGAGACAGAGAAAGAAAGAAAACTCTCCTGGTAAACTGGTTTTTATGAACAGACACTGGTTTTATGAACTGACTTACCGTGTGATCAACCCCACGTGTTCTCTCGGTCACCCCGATCCGTCCGACTCGAACTCGAGATACACGGACGATTTGATGTCCGCGTTCTCACAGAGACCGATGCTATCACTCTCACTCTTCGCAGACAGTAGTACGGGGAGAGGGTGTAAGAGCCGTAGACCTGCCTAAGCCCCACATTCTCACCGGGCCCTGACTCGGTTCCACGTGAATCCATCATCACCGTCAAGTGAACAACGAGTAGGCTGCATCTGCACACAGACAAACATTCCAACATAACAACCCCCATGTTCTCATCGTGTTTCCACAATTCCATTCGGATTCTCCTTCCGCTCGATACTTTTTTTTTTTTTTTTTTTTTGTTTTGTTTTGTTTGGTCGCACGATCGTACGGTTATTTGGTGGTTTTTTTTTTATTTTTTTTTATTTTTTGTTTTGTATATGGTATGTATATATATTTTTTTTTTCCTGCGACAACGTCGTTTTCGGAGTCTCTCCGGTCGTCCCGTGTGTACACGGTAATTGCACACTTTGTACGTATTTATTTTTGTATGTACATACAACATATATTTAGGTATACTTTTTTTTTTTTTTGGATTATTGTTAATATTTTTGTTGTTGATGTTGTTGTTGTTGTTACTGTTGTTGTTTTCTGTTCTGTCTCGGAATCCGTCTACGCATACGGGCCACGTATTACACGTTTACGTTTACATATACATATACATATACATATAAATATATATGTATATATATATACATGTGTGTCTTTTCCTTTCCCTTTTTTTTTTCTTTTTCTGCGGGTTAGTTTTATGTTAATATATATATATATATAAAACTGAGATAGATCCCATTCTTTTTGACTTTCTTGTGTAAATATATATATACATTGCAAAGATTTTTTTTTCTTTTGTTTTCTTTCTGTCTGAATTTTGGTGATGTGCATATAATATATACGGTATAACAAGCGACAAAAAGAAGGATAGATCAGCTAGATTGTGTGCGTAGATTACGAACATACACATACAGGTATATATGTGTACAGATAGAGGAAGATTATATATACATACATAAATGTGATAAGAGAGAAAGAAAGAGAGAGAAAAAGAGAGAAATAGAGTGAGAGAAAGAGAGAGAGAAAAGAAAAAGAGAAAGAAAGAGAAAAAGAAATAGAAAGAAAGAGAGAGAAAGAGAGAAAGAGAAATATGTATATATCTTTCTTTTTGGAAACGAATAGACGACAAAAGGATAGTCGTATTTCGTATTTTGATTTCTCTCGGTCGTAACCGAAGTGGTTGTAGTATGGGTCTCTCTGGGAGCCTCGATATCTCGACGTGGGCGTTATACGTTTTATTTTACTTTTACTTGTTTTGTTTTTTCTTTTTGTTTTTTGGTTTTTGTTCGGTTTATATCATACATATATATATTTTACTTTAGTTTTTTTTTTTTTACTTATTTCTGAACGGTAACAGTGGTCGATCGAATGTTTGTCTGTGAGTGCACTGGTAGCCTTTGCGAAACGTTGTGGTGGTGAGCATTTAATATATAAATATATAAATATATATATATACTGGAAGGTTGACACTGAATCGTATATTTTTGGCGTAAGATATCCTGCCTGCCGAGAGCGTGTTACTCTCTCGACGCGTTGCGTACGATTGTTATATTTTATCGATAAGCATTTTTACTCTCTGTCGGGCGTATTTTTTTTTTATACTTTGTATTATTATTATTATTATTATTATTATTATTATTTTCGATGGTGGTATGTAGAAAATATTCGACACTTTTAGTGCGTCCCGATGATTGGTGAAGGGTCCGGGCAGATCTACGGCGTGATGTGTGGTATATATAAAAATGCAGGTGTATATGTATATATATATATATATATATATATATATATATATATATGTATATACATACATACATTCATACATACATATATATACATATCTACGTTGTAGTGCATGTTCATTGTCTTTCCTGTTGTTGTTATTTTGTTCTTGTTACTGTTGTTACTATGTTATTAATGTTACTACATGTCACTACATGGGGTTGTTCATGTTTATTGGCTTGTTCATGTGACTGTTGTTCGAAAGATGTTTCCTGTCCCATCATTTCTGTTTCTTTTTTTTTTTTACATTTACTTTGTTTTTTTTTTTTTAACTTTTCTTTCGTTTTCTTTCTCCCTCTGTGTTCGTCTCTGCGACGGCCTCCGCTTTTCCAACCAAGGCCTCTCCTCTAGTGTCGTTAGTGTGAACCGTGGGGATGCGTGAATCTTCCCTTCGTCGACGATATCGATTGTCGATTAACGACAAACGAACGGCAGAATGTTAGTGACTTGTCTTGAACGGAAGTGAGAAAGTGAGTGAGTGAGTGAGTGAGTGAGTGAGTGAGTGAGTGAGAGAGAGAGAGAGAGAGAAAGCTGGCGATGGGTGGATCGTATCGAGACGAAGTGAGAAAGGTTATCGCGATTGCGGGATCCACGACGACGATGACGAACGCGGAGAAAGGCCAGAGAAGAGAGAGAAAGATAAAGGATAGAGAGAGAGAGAGAGAGAGAGAGAGAGAGAGAGAGAGAGAAAGCAAAGAGATATCGCAACGAGACTCAAAAACGTCCTGACCGATAACGAAATTCATTTCCCGCGTTCGATAAAAGGGAAAAGAGGCAACCTGGATTTTTCGACGCTCCTTCGTCTTGATTAACTCCGACAGTCGGACGGAAGCGTGGTTCGCCCCTAGTGCTTTCTCGCCCGTGAAGAAAATACGCCCCCGCCGAACGGTCGCGACGTCAACGTCAGAAAGACCCCGGAGCTTCTCAACTTCTCTCGCGAGAAGTTCATCAAAACGTCCGTAGAAATGAAGGATCGGAGTGGAACGATCCTTTTTTTTTTTTTTTTTTTTTTTCGCCAACGTTCAGAAACGAACAATTCTATCTTGATAATTTCAGAATCGACACGTTCCGTTGTTCCTCCACTGATTTCGCGAAACACGAAGAGAGAGAGAGAGAAAGAGCGGAGAATGTTATCAAGCTCGACAGATAAACTTACTTTCCGAGCGATAACGATCAACTGACGAGCGTGTACGTATACTACTTGCGCCTAGCAGTTGCCTCGTTTTCCTTTTTTTTTCCCACTCTGCGTTGCGTTACATTCGCAGATGCGCGCAGCTGGCGTGCGTTCGAGAGGGATGAAAGAACGGCGTGTAAAGCTTTCGCGTGTCACAGCCGCGCGTCAACGTCGCCGGGACAGGGCTTGTCTAAACCGTTTGTACGGTTTCAGTTTGCCCGTTGAAACGCATCGATCCAAAGCACGAACGGGAGGCACCGGCGGTGTGTCCTCGATCGAGAGAAAGCACTCGCACGTTACGATACGACTACGAGCTCGACTCGAGGTCTAATTTCAGCGGTAAACGCGTTCCAACTTCTTCTACTATCATTGTGCCATCGCGTTCGAGTCTCCGTTCCCTCGACCCTTTCTTTTTTGCTGTATATCACTGTGTATCGAGCGGTCCCCGCTCTTTCCAACTGGTGAAAACTCGAGACAACGAAGATTCACGGATCTGAACTTGGAAGAGAGACGAAGAAACGTAACTGCGTGTAACGCTGGATACGTCTCGAGACGAGGAATGCAAAAGCAACTTGTCCGACAGAAGAGAAGGAATGGAAAGCACATACACACTCGCTTTATCCCCTTAAAAGCGTTCGACAGCACCTTCTGGGTTAAGTAGCGAAGAAATCCTTCCACCCTCTCCTCGACGCGCGGCGTCCGCGTTCAATCTCTCGAAAACGGCGGCACGAAGCGTGAATGAAACGATCGAGACCGATCGGCGATGCGAAAGGCGAACTATCGGCAAATGGAGAGAGAGAGAGAGAGAGAGAGAGAGAGAGAGAAAGAGAGAGAAAGAGAGAAAAAGAAGCCAGCGACATCATTTGCACTCAGCCTCGTTTCCGAGGGAGAGAATCCCGGACCGGCTGAAACGCAATTCCGGCCGATTCCGCGCAATTAAGGCCGACGACACCGGGAAAAGCTGCTCGTGGGACTTTTAATTACACCCCCACAGCCGGGGGGGGGGCGGGGGTCGCCGCGCGATCAGTGCCCGCGCTTGTGATCTCTATAACGCAATACACCGCGATACCGAGCCGCGCTTTCCTTACCAATGCACCCGATAATTGAAGCCCCGCCGTTCGACTGGCTTAATTGCCATTCTGCGCGGCCAGCCAGAGCTATTCGGGGCTCGCGAGCCTCGCGCCAGCCCCGACGCAACCGGAAGAACACATACAACCCCTACAGCTATACAGTATGTCCGGCGTAAGTGCATTACGATTAAGCTAATTAGACCGTAACATATGAAATTCGTAACACGAGGGATCCCCGTTTCCATTACGCCGTCTCGTCGTGCTCGTTTTTGTACTCTGTTGAAACCTACAGGATTCTTCCCTTTTTTTTTTTAGAATTTATTTGAAAGTCGTCGAATTCTTAGACTCGATGGAAGAATTTAATAAAGAAGACGTAATTTGGGAAATTTATAATGACAGCATTCTCTTTTGAAATACCGTGGTAATGTAATATTGGGTCGGCCAAAAAGTAACTGCGTTCTTTTTTTTTTTTTCTTTTTTTCAATAGATGGACGTACATATCTTAAAATAATCTGGTGCCTTTAATTTTTTTTATTTCAGAAAAAGGAAATGCACGGTCTTATTAACAATCGTTTGTTTGCCAAAAACAGAATAGAAACGAAAAATTATCTGACGTGTATTGCGAAAAAGACTTAAACCTACACGGCGGTATCAAAATTGGTTTGCTAAATTTCGTTGTTGAATTGAGGATAACAAATCCTTCTTGAAATTGTTTTTTTTTTTTTTGTCGAAAAGCACACGCATAAGATGAACGATGTATCGTCTTTCACAAAAAATTCGCCTCTTATTTGCATACGAAAAAGAAACGCAGTTACTTTCGATATTGTTATGCGCGTATAACGTTATATTGTTACAACAATAATATTCGATCGGAGATTGGTTCAATTTGAATTTGCCGGAGATTATTTCTATTATTTCAGTTCGTTTGCAATCGCGATTAAAATCGCGCGTATCGTTCGAGCAACACACGACTCGAATTAATAAAATAGTTAAACTAAATTATTCATCGTTCGTTGCGATTGATTTACTCCTCTTCGTTAATAACTGGTTACAACGAAACACAAGAGCACAAGAGGGATAATGCGCGACAATAAATATCAAATTCTTACTGCGTTATTCCGCCGTGGATTATTCCGCATTCGGCGACACAGAGCG